AAGATCGATATTCAACCATATTATGGACTCGAAATCCTTAGGCACCACACCTTAACTTTTGAATCCACTAGGACCGTTATTGAGAGTCACCCACTCTGACTTGGTCCCGAATATAATCAACTCCAAGGCTCTGCTAGCACATGAACGCCCTCTCAAAGAAGCACCCGGCTGAATCATCTTCCTTGTAACTTGCCTATACATGAAGCATAAATCCTGAGTCTTCCCAAAGCCTGAGCATGAATCGATAAGGCCAACTATAGCACACATTCCTCAAATCGCTTGCTCAAATTACCACTGATGTTCTATTTCCTTAGTCGTAATAACCCAGCAATATGTCGATAACCAGAAATCTTACAAATAGACGACCATACAATCCAACTGTAGGCGGTGGGACTCTCCCACTTAGCTTGAAGCTACTATTGCATAAACCTGGAACCCACCAAGATTCTTCCTTCATCGACATGATCTAGCACAATCAACCCGCCAAATTCCTCGAAATCCTTCCATTAACCTTTAATGAACACTCTGAACCACTAGCCACATTTACATATTCAATCTCTTACCGGGTAGCCAGTAAAATTCTTCGCAGAAGCTTCATCAACACCACGCGACCGCTAATCCAGCTCACAGGAGATAACCCGCCTGTGGAAATTCGATGCCGACATCCTCCAACAACATTGCACCGAGTACAATAACCAAGAAGCCAATAAACCATCCTTAGACCGTGGTCGTTCACTAGCTGTACAAGTCCGTTCACCCCTCATGTACATCAACTAAAGGTGCGACAATACATTCCAATCCAAAGTCATGATGTATCCTTCTTCATATCAAGCAGCTCCCTCCCGTCACACCTAATCTTTCTCGATATAGCAGCCAATATTCCAAATTAAGCTCGTAGACCTAGTCACTGTCCACCATGAATCCCAAATCACTCTAAAATTTCCTCAAGGCATGTAGCCATCCTATCATAGATCCCACATGCTACTCTGCCACTCTCCCACTTTGGTCAAACTCACTCCTTTAAGCAACTACCCGACTCTTGTTTCTCACACTTGCCTTATATAAGTTTAACCATTGTAAGACACCTCCCACATGTCTTTCCTCATCCTTCGCTGCCCAGTTGTTGCCTTAAATCAAAATCTATCTTTGTAGCACTTGAACTGATAGATAGCTACCAACTTTAAACCTTTCCCGAAATCATCTTTCTCGAGCCATCAATACCAGGAATGTTGATTCGATCTTGAACCTCTGCACACTGCGACCTCTGACAGCCGCTATCTCGGCATGATTTATAATACTCTGCCCCAAGGCAAATTGAAGGAAACCATAACACCGACGAACTTAACAAATTATAACCAATTAAGGACGATGACGCCACATCACATGCGAAGATTCCACCACGCTCGAAAATATCGAGTCCTGCTACTCCATCAACCCAAGTCTGAATATTCTTAGTTTGATTGCTTTTCCTCCGTCGAAAGAAAAATACCGAATCTCTGAATCATGCACTAAGTAAACCTCTTTTCAAGTCATTCACTGCCCCGACACATAGGTAAGCATCCTACCATCACATCAATACCGTGTGATAACAACTCATGAGCATCATAGCAACCTGTGCATAGCCTCAAACCTCTCAGAAGTACAGCTACTGAGCTGAAATGACATAATATCCTTCAACAAGGCGACGACAATATCCCAATCAATTACGCATGGAGAAATATCCCGCACCACATCTGTAGTACCATTAAAATTCCTCAATCACCGATTTATAACCAGCACTTCACGTCGCATAAGATCGAATAGGAAGGAAATGAAGACATAATCCTCAAAGGAATCAAATCGCACGATGAGGAATCAAGAAAGGGAAGTGCTCCTAACAGCCTTGTTGCCTCTCGAAGATAAGTACAGACGTCTTTGTACCGATCCGCAAGACTCGCTCATGACTCGTGAGACCTACGTGAACCTAGTGCTCTGATACCATATTGTCACGACCCAAAATCCATTAAAGGTCATGATGGCGCCGGACACCGCTGTCAGGCAAGCCAACACTAAATACTTAATTCAGGTCTCATTTTAATATTTTTGAAATCATAGTTTTTCCCCTCAATTAAATAGTAGAAGATGGAGTTTACAAAATACATAATAATATCTTTAAAAATTCCAATATAGTGCAACCCATAACCACCCCAAAACCCGGTGTCATAAATGTGTGAGCATTAACTAGGAATGTAAAATAAAATACAATAGTTGTTCGAAATACAAATTGGACAGGAAAACTATAAGTACTCTAAAGGATATTCTGTTGGCTGCGAAGCGTTGTATAGAATGCAGCTCACCTAAGTCCTCGCCATAATCGTGCCTCTGCACCCACAAGGCCGCTAAGCATATGTGTACCTGCACAAAAATGTGCAGCAAGTGTAGCGTGAGTACGTAAATCAACGCGTACCCAGTAAGTATCCCGCCTAACCTCGAAGAAGTAGTGACGAGGGGTTAACTCGGACACTTACTATGGGCTATAATTAATATACCAATGATATAAATTAAGCATGGATCACGAAGAACGGTTGTAATCCCAATATCATGAAATGAGTAAACAATTCTTATGTTGATAAGAGATTTCCAAATTCCTATTTCATCATTTATCAATTTATCTTAGACCAGGGAGGCAATATCATTATTTAAAAATTAAAAGGCAAGCAATACAAGCATGCGCAAATTATGCCAAGATCGTACGGCCCGATCCAACATAATATTTAAATTGTGCACTGCAGAGGGTCGAATGGCGCGAATCATAGATGCATCTATTGAATCTACCGAGGCGTTCGGCTAGCTCCACGTAAGATAACACATTCAAACAATCAATCAAGAATTCATCAAGGGGTACTTATCCAAGGGAAAGGCAAATTTCTCTTTTAAAAGTAAAGAAAACGATGTCTAGCCTTTTAGAAATTTATTTACAAAGTTCGATATGATTTAAGCATTTTAAATTGACAGCAAGATTGCAAATATTACAAGTAAAGCACGCTATTGGGTCCTAGACTACCCGAACTTAAGCATAATAGTAGCGACGCACGGACTCTCGTCACCTCGTGCGTACGTAGCCCCCACAAATAGGATCACACGTTGATTTATTTCACCTATGGGGTAAATTCCCTCTTACAAGGTTAGAAAGGAGACTTACCTCGCTACGAAGTTCCTTCTATGGCTCCCAAGCCTTTCCAATAACTCGAACCGATGCTTAATGCTCCAAACCTAGTAAATAAATTTGCAAATACATGAATATATACTCCAATACTCCTTATAATCCAATTTATAACAAATTCCAATTACGTTCTAAAAGTCGATAAAAATCACCCTCGGGCCCACGTGCCCGAATTCCGAAATTTTTTGAAGATAAACTTTACCCATAACCTTATGAACTCAAATATATGATTTATGTCCAATTCCATGCTCAAATTCGTGGTAAAATAAATCCAAAAATATCAAATTCTAGGTTTTTCCACCAAAGCCCCAATTTCTACTAATTTCCATGTTTAAATCCATATATGATCATGTATTTAACTCAAAATTGTGAAGAAAGCACTTACCCCATTATGATTGATGAAGATGGCACTCCAATGTGCTCCAAAATTGGCTCCCATGGGCGAAATGAAATGAGATAGAGCCAAACCCTCGCTTTAAAGAAGACACTACCAAGCCCCGAATTCTGCACCTGCGGTGCTTTGGCCGCATCTGCGGTCCCGCACCTGCGGAAATTTCATCGCAAGTGCGGCTCCATCTTGGCCCAACATTTTTGCACCTGCGCTCCATGCGGCGCATCTGCGCGCCCAGTTTTGCGTTGCTCTCTTCGCACCTGCGCCTTCGCAGGTGCGCAAATCTTTCCGCTCATGCGGTTCTCAGCAGCCTGCCCCTTTCGCTTCTGTGAGCCATTTTCCCGCACCTGCGGGCTCACACCTGCGGCCCTCTTCACGCAGGTGTGGTTACACCAGATGCTCAGCTGCTTCATCCCTTCTTCAAATTCCAAATTCAATCTGTTAACCACCCGGAATCCATTCGGGGCCCTCGAGACCTTATCCAATTATAACAACACATCCCAAAACACATTATGAACTTAGTCGAGCCTTCAAATCACATCAAACAACGTCAAATTCATGAATCGCACCCCATTCCAAGCTTAATGAACTTTAGAATTTCAATTTCTATATTCGATGCCGAAACCTATCAAATCACGTCTAATTGACCTCACATTTTGCACACCAGTCACATTAGACATTGCGGACCTACTCCAACTTCCGGAATTGGAATCTGACCTCGATATCAAAAAGTACACTCCTGGTCAAATTTCTCAAAAATCATCCAAATTCCAACTTTCACCAAATGACCTCAAAATGACCCACGGATCTCCAAATCCACATCCGGGCGCGCTCCCAACACCAGAATCACCATACAGAGCTATTCCCAAGCTCGGATTCCCAAACGGACATTGATAACATTGAAATGCATTTCAACTCAAATTAATGAAATTCTTCCAAAATGCCAACTTCCACAATAGGTGCCGAAACGCTCCCGGGGCATCCAAAACCCGATCCGAATATACGCCCAAGTTCGAAATTATCATACGAACCTGCTGGAACCTTTTATCACCGATTTCGAGGCCGTTTACTCTAAAATCCAATCTTAGTCAATTCTTCCAACTTAAAGCTTTCGAAATGAGAAAGTTTCTTTCCAATTCAACTCCGAACTTCCCAAAATTCAATCCCGACCAAGCGTACAATTCATAATACCTTAAGTGAAGCTGCTCATGGCCTCAAACCGCCGAACAACACACTAGGGCTCAAATCGACTGGTCAGAGCATTACACTGCAATTGCAGTTGCCAGATATTTAGCAGTGGGTTGTGCCCAATCATACAATATTGCTTCTGGCACAAGAGGTGCCACACCCTGATTGATCGGGTCATTCGCATTGTTTTTGTTGTTTTGATTGGCATTGACGTCTCCCATGTCTAGTTCAATTTGTTCTGTTGAGTTCTGTTATCGTTTGTCATTCTTGCATGCTCGATTTAGTTCCTTGAAAGCTTTCTCAGGGTCTGGTAATGCTTCGAACAATTCACCTATTCTTGAGGAGTTTCTAGGCATACACCTGTAACACAAAAGACTACAAATATTAGAGTTTCAATATAATGAATATCAAGTCAAAAAAGATGACTAAACTATGAATTATAGCAATTCTTCTAGCCGTAATTAATAACACCGTTAATTCTTTGGTAACGGTGCCAAAATTTGATCACGCCCAACTATGCCTCCTAAGAGGTCTAGCGGTCACTGAAAATATAATCCATTTTACAAGTCCGGAGTCGAATCCCACAGGGAATTAACCTACTAATTACAACCACTAGTTCCGCACAAATTCAAGTATTCACCCTTCAGAAATATTAAATAATGATTTGAATGTTTACTAACTAAGAGCAAAGTAATTAAAATGCAGTAATTTATAACTAACAGAGGAAATGTCGGAATCCTCCCCGCTACATTTCCTATAAATTCGCCTAAGTATTCTCTACCGATCGTCAGTACTTTGGATGTCGTAATTCTCTTCCAAGCAACTACCTCAATTTACTAAATGTATTCTTCCGAACTACGCTAGCTGGCTCTAATTCACCGCTCACTAGGATCACACCAAGGTTTCGTTATTCCTAATCCCACCTTTAAACCGTCCGTATTGATTCCTCACATACGTTAGGAGTGATGTTGTTCAACAACTACCTAAATATGTACCATTTTTCAAACAATACATACTAAATAAGCACAGTCGATTGAGAGCTCTTCAATCAACCACAATATAAATGTAGTTGAACAAGTAGAGAAAAATCAAAGGCAAATCTATATTAAACGTAGTAGAAAGTCATCCTCTAATAGGTTCCATCAAACCCTAGATTAGAAAGTTTAGCTACTCATAAATGTATCAACAATCATCATGATGTTCAAAGACATTAAACCACAAAGTACAGAGATAGACTGAGGGAATTGTCTTTTGATTCTTGCTTCACCATGCTCTGCAACCTTTTTCTTCTCCAAAATAGTGTCTAACCCTAAGAAATAGGTTTAAACCCCCCTTTTATACATGTTGGGGGCGTGTAGGTTCGAAACTACCAAGTCCTAGCCGAATTAGGACGAAATCTGCCCTTAGCCATTTTGCTTCGCCTGGCGCCAACCAGAATACCAAAATTTTTCACTATTCTGCCTTTGGTGTTTTGGTTGGTGCCTGGCACCAACCTGGGCACCAAACTCATATTTCCTCCAAATTCTTTTGTTTTTACTTCACTTTGCATGCAAGCTTGCCAAATCATTTCAAATTGACTCCTACACATATAAACACCATTATTAAGCTCAAGTTATAAATATTTACACCAAAGTTAACAAGATTGAGGTATAATGCAAGGCAAATTACATGCGAAAACATGGATTATTAGCCTAAATCAAAGGACATCATCAAAACTTACACAAATAATCTATTTTGTCATGGTAGTTAGATAATTATGTACTACAGTTTAAAAGTATTTAATGTGATGGTATCTTAACGAACATTTTTTTTTGGATAATATTTGTTTGTGTATGTTTCCTCCTAATGCTTTGGTTGCTCTGCCTTAACCAGAACTCTTGTTGTCGATCTTGATATCCCTCTTGAAAGTGCAACATAGAGTTGTTCGTAGAAGAAAACATATTGCGGTAAATATAGTCCAATATTTAGGATGTTTGTCCTTGTTCTTAATTTATTATATTTACAAAACATAAACATACTAAAAATTATTTTTCACACAAATTTAAAACGATATTCCTTAGTTTCGGAAGATGAAAGTTGAATTCAGGGATAAGAATATACTTAGAAGTACATTGACCAGTATCATAATTTTTGCATGTATGACGTTATTGTCAAAACTTCTATATACCATATGTGTGCTAATACATAATCTATTCGGCGTATTTACGTTTTTCAGTAGCATGACAGACATATTTTTCTTCAAAATCAACATATATACAATGGAAGATCAACTTGGTCTATTATGTATACGGTGACACTAACATACGTAAGAAATAATAAACTTGACAACAAACATATATGGTAGAAGGCCGTTTGGTATTAAAGTATTTAAGTATTCTTCTTAGTAGTAATTATTGGTATCATTTTCTGTTGAGTCAAAAACAAAAAAGTATTTTGTTTTTACCATAACATTTTGCAATCAATCTTTTATTTAGTTGATCAACATATTCATTTCTTCTAGCTAAGATATCTTTTTAATTCTATCATGCGATTAGCACAAATTGTATTTTTATCTAACACTACTAGAAATTTGCTAAAAACTGATCAAATTTGGTCGGTTATGGCCAATTACCGATCAAAACGCGACCATTAGGGTGTGAACGGTATTTTGATAGTCGGAATGGCTTACCGACCAAAGTTGGTCAGAAATTACCGACCAACTTTGGTCGGTAGCTTAAAATGACCATCTGATAAGTTTAAGTACTTACCGACCAACTTTGGTCGGAAATATATTTTATTAATTTAATTTTACCGAACAAAGTTGGTCGGTTTAACTAAATTATATTTTTTTATTAATTATTAAAATTTAAAAAAACCGACCAACTTTGGTCGGTAATTGAAAATATATATTTTTTAAAATAATTAAAATTAAACATTACCGACCAACTATGGTCATTAAAAACCGACCAACTTTGGTCGGTTATTTTTGGGTTTAATTTTGGCATAAAATGCATATTTTGGCAGCTACACCACCTGCCAGCATACCAATACACCTAATAACAATAACAACAACAACAACTAAAACATTCAATAAATACTTTAAAACTAACAAATTAAAGTTCAATTGAACATAAAAATCCAAAACCAAGTTAAAACTAATTACAACTAGTTCAAAACTGGTTCTATTTGTCTAGTTCAAAGTATGTAAAAGTCAAGGGGTATTTTCTACAACATCATCATCACCGTCTGATGAACTTTCATTTACAAGACGATATAGAGAACGGTCTTGTGGAGGACGGGGAGGACGGGGAGGATGAGAGGAACGATCACGAGTAGGACAGGAGGAACGATCACGTGGAGGTCGACCCTCTGGAGATGACTCACGAGATCGGGGCAA